GGGGTCGTCATGGTGGCAGGGGGTGGGCCATGGTGGCAGGGGTGTCAAGTGATGGCAGGGGGTCATGGTGGCAGGGGTGTCATGATGTGGGTCGTCATGGTGGCAGGGGGATCGTCATGGTGGTAGGGGTAGACTCTTAAATCAGAAAGTTACAACACTCTCAACAACATGAACGGTTGTTAGTGTTAGGGGAGAGACTCGTTGTTTGTGGTGTGTTGGGGGAGGTTCTGGTAACTACACACACACACACCTCTCCTCCCTCCTCTTCTTCCTTCCTCTTCTCCCTCTTCCTCATCCTCATCCTCTTCCTTCCTTCTCCTCCTCCCCCCTCCCTCTTTCTTAATCCATGTGCGATGGTATGGGGCATGGGCGTGGGCGCGAGAGGTGGGCGTGGGTGCGAGAAGTGGGCATGGGTGTGGGAGGTAGGGGTGAGCGCAGATTAAACCCATGATAGGGACACACACACACACACACACACACACACACACACACACACAGCGCCTCCGTCAGAAGACATAGACTACGCCCATAGATCAGCGGTTACCTGCGCGCCCACACCGCCCCAGGAGCACGGGCGTGTAGGGGCGTGGGCCGCGTGCCGTGGTGACTTGGAGGCACCAGATAAAATTAGATCTTGGGGAGGGGGGTAAGAGGGGGAGGCAATGTCTGGCCAGGACCCAACCTGTCTGTCCCCACTTACCCCACTCACTCTCCCTGTCGTCCAGTCATACTCTACGGTTCCCACTCGTCGTGTTTCATTAAAGTTACGCCACCACGGTACAGTGCTTGGCGTAGTGAAGATCTGTTGCCAATCTTTACCCGAGGACAGTTAGCATCGAACCACTCCCTCAAACGACCCCCTGAACCGGTCATTAGTTTGAAATTACTCCCTCAACGACCACTTCGGCCAAGTTATGAGCCACGCCCCTCAAATGATCCACTCCAACCAATCATGAGCTAGGACCACTCCCACCGATGACTGTTTTAACCAATCATAAGCTAGGACCACTCCCACTGATGACTGTTTTAACCAATCATGAGCTAGGACCACTCCCACTGATGACTCCTTTAACCAATCATGAGCTAAGAATCGCGCCTTTCAAATGGCCACTTAGACCAATCATCGGCTGAGAACCATGTCTCTTTAACGACCAAGCTGACCAATCATTATCCACGACTAAGAACACACACACACACGAGGATTTATTAATGGCAGGTGAGGTTGGGTAGTGCGGATAGTTGTTGATGATGACAGGTGAGGGTAACGATGACGAGACAGGGGTGAGGGAGGTGAGGTTATTTGCATCTGTCAAGGCATATATTGGATAACTGTCTGTCTGTCTCTCACTTGCAAACCATTACACTTGACAGGTGATTACCACAATAATAAACACCTTACGTCATCACCTACGTACACAAGAGTTCATTGGATGTATTTCGTTCGCTGGCAGAGTTTGATCGCTAGTAACTGAGTACGGTAAATTGTAGTGATTTGTTCGCTGGCAGAGTTTCAGAAGGTTGTGAGGGAGGAAGTGGAGGGTTGGCGGGGCAGTGGAGGGTGGTGGCTAAGAGCAACGTTGTTTTACAGAATTCTTCCTCGTATATATGTAGATGACCCTCATGAATACTGATCCTGTATGGGGAATTGCACATCTCCCCTTGCACGTGGGTGTAGGGGGTGTAGGTGGAGGGGATGTAGGGTATGTGGGGGTAATGTGTGGGTGTATGTATGAGGTGACGTGGGTGTGTGCAGAAGAATGTGTATGTGTGGGTGTGTGTGTAGGAAGGCGGGAAGAAGGATGCTTTATCTTCTGGGACTCGGGGGTGGGGGGGACTCGTACAGCCACTGAAAGACTCCGCTGTATACCGAATCCTATAGAGGGGGTAACATGTTTTCAGGATTTAACCCAACTTTATGATGCGGTATCCTCATCGTCGAAGTCCACATGTAATCGACTCCAACATTAAACAGAAACAGACAGAGAAAGCGATAAAGAAGGAAAGAAAAATGAGAGCGTTAAATAAGGAAGGAAGGAAAGAGAAAAATGAGAGAGGGCAGGCAGGCAGGCAGGCAGGCAGGCAGGCAGGCAGGCAGGCAGGCAGTGTCCCCATAAAACCATGGGCTCTCTGTTTGGACCTTCCAATTGTCGCCGTCGGCAAAAAATTGTGTGAAATATCGGCCGTCTCGATATCCTTAACGGGGTAAATTTGCGACGCTGGGAAGTGTTTTTGTGTAGCTCTCTCTCTCTCTCTCTCTCTCTCTCTCTCTCTCCTTGTTATTATTCTTCTTCTCCTCCACTTCCTCTTACTCCTCCAGGTCAAGAGACAGATGTTACAAGATACATTGTGTCTTTGGACTTCCTGGCGAGCGTTCAGACAGTCACTTTTTGAGCTTCAGATTCTTAAAAACGATAAAAATTACTTAAGTTTAATTTTGTTTTCACCCCTAATTGCCTCGGATCAACTACGACACTCACAAGATGGCGTCAAAGCTTCTCATAGACTTTTTTTTATGGGAAATTGTATTATCTTTGTGTAAAATGATGGACTTGGGAAATTTTGTGAATAATGTTCTGGATAACTTGAGAGGCGACTGCTGAGCTAAGGGAGGGTGGGGGTAAAGGGGGTGCAGGAGTTGGGGGGGTGAGGGATGGGGTGCTGTATGTGTCGCTTATTGCAGCTGAGGCAGGACTGAGGGGGGGGGGAGATGGAGGATGAAAGTGAAAGAGGGAAAAGAAGAGAGTGAAAGGGAGGAGAGGGAGAGATGGAGAGAGGGGGAGGAACAGAACCAGGCAGGATTTTGTGGGGTGACTCGCCTGCATTGCTACACACACACACACACACACACACACGTACTATACAAACAATAATTACACTTTCGCTCCATCCATTATACTAAGTCGAACACCTTACTCATTCTCACCTTTAAAGCCCTCTTAAGTGGGTCTTCGTCAGGTCCTTCGTCAGGCTGGGCTGGCTCGGGTCTCCCGCCTTTGTGTGGTTATCGGTAGACGCCCCCAGGCTTGAATTACTGTTAATTTAATTGCACAGGATTTGTGTGTGTGTGTGTGTGTGGTAGGGGTAGTGAGGTAACGTTATCATTATATGTAGATGTACGTGATGGCAGGTTAGGCCGCGCCGTGAAGGTCACCAGGCTACTAGTACTACCACCACCACCACCAGGCTACTAGTACCACCAGTCCACAACCTGCCTCTTCTGACCTGACAATGTTTTTCGTGTGAGGGATTTTTTTTTCTAGGACGACTTAACCCAACCAAAATTATTAAACTTATTTTTTCACAGGAAGATAGAGAACACGGATTTACATAACTGACGGAAACACAAGAAAAATATATTACTTGTATTTCGTTATTCTTAAATTATCAGTCTTTCGTTATTCTTGTTATCATATTTTCTGTTTGTTTAATATCCTAATGACGTATATTCTTAGTCTATTCAGGGAACAATAATATTTAGGTGTAGGGAGGAGAAGGGGGTGTCTTTGTTGATGGTGACATCCTTGACACTCACCACTGACTATGATTCTAACTTTTCTTAGCTTATTTATACATCAGCGACTAATTCATATTTTCCCTAGCTTGTAAATGTGTGTATATATGTCTGTGTGTGTGTATGTATGTGTACGCATGTGTGTATTGTGTTTTGTGTGTGTAGTATATGCGTGACAGTATAATTTGTCATACTTTTCACGCATGACTGACATAAGATATACTTTGTGTATGATTTTGTATTTTTCTTTATTAGTTGTGATATACAAAAGTTAGTTATATTGGACAGGTTTATGAAGAACTGATAATTTTGTACCACAGGTTTGTTTTTGACGTGTTGGGTGGAGAGGAAGGGTGAGAGTATCCTCATCGATTTGTCCACTGTGGTATTTCGCGCCATCGTGTTTGTGTGTATGTGTGTAGGTATATATATGTGTGTATGAGTGAGTGTGTGTGTGTGACTGTAACTGCACAGAATGCTGCACTTGTTATATAATTGTGCATAATGGCTCCGTCCCCTACTCCCTCACCCTCACCCCTCCCTTCCCCACACCTCCTCCTTCCCACACCTCCCTTCCCCCTCCTTCCCCTCACCGCCTCCCTTCCCCACACCTCCCTTCTCCACACCTCCCTTCCCCACACCTCCCTTCCCCACACCTCCCTTTACCCCCAGTCAGTTATGGAGGAGGAGGAGGTGTGTGGTTGCACGAAGCTCCATGTAAAGACTCGCATTAAAGACACTATTGAATGTGGATTAATTATTTATTTCCCTTTATACAAGTCAATATTTTTTTATCTATGCGTGTGTCGGGAGGAGGAGGGGGGAGGGGGGGGGGTTGGTTACCCCTCCCCCTCCTCATAAAGGGTATGACGTCACTGAACTCACTCACTCACCCTCACTAATAACGCCAATAATACGCTATAATGACACATAATAACCTGTTATGTCTCTCTATACGAAATTAAATAAACAAACTCGTGTAAAATTGGCGTAGATGTGTTTGTTGAATAAATTAAGTTTGAATTAATATGGCGTCCTGTTGTTAGCTAAATTATCATATGGCATTAAAAGTCTTTAGTGTGTGTGTGTGTGTGTGTGTGTGTGTGTGTGTGTGTGTGTACTCTCTTTGTTTACCAGTTTTATGTAGGAGTCTTCAGATATGTATGCATGAGTCTCTCTCTCTCTCTCTCTCTCTCTCTCTCTCCTCGCTTGTACGTGTCCAGTTTTATAAAGACTATAATTCAGTTAAGTAGACTGAATGGGCTTTTAACCAATCTCTGTGTGGACGTAATCACAGTCAGGCCTCAGACGAATTCGATAATCGGTATCGTGTGTCTTTATTGTCCAGAGTTACGGCCACTTGGACTTGAGTGCGAGGGGATATTTAGCATGGCCCCACCTGTATTACCGATGATTAAGTAAGAAATACAGCCTTATTTTACGATGGATTTTAACTGCAGTTGGATTACAGCTTTTTTTTTCATGTAATATTACAGTTATCTTGTCTCTCCACAGTCACTGGTGCATGTGTTGAAGCACCGACGTACGCTGACGGAGCCTGAGGTACGTTACTACATGCGTCAGCTAGCGGAGGGCGTGGCGTACGTGCACCAGCAGCAGGTCATACACAGGGACCTGAAGTTGGGCAACATGTTCCTGACGGAGGATATGCTTATGAAGATCGGTGACTTCGGCCTGGCTACCCGCGTCGACGACAACAGGAATGTGTGAGTATATGACTGAAGGGGGTTACCTGAAGATTAGACATCGGACATTCTTACAGCGGAGGATACATCTTTTTTTACTAATTTAACGCCACAAAGAGAAGATTTTCTTAAATCTTTGATAAATTATTCTGAAAATGTGAGATTTCTTAGTGAATAAAACACATGGACTGAGTTTTCTTGAGAATTAAGATGACAGGACAGTTTTATCGAGATATGAGTGTGTTCTTGTGTGACATATTAGGATTACTCTCTCTTACTCTCTTTGGATGACTGTTTTATTCTTCATTAATTAACATACTGCATTGTAAACATTCTGGCAATTACCCTCCCTCACTCACTTGGTATATGCGAGCCCAGTACACTAATACACACCACAACTTAGGCTACCCCTCGTATATGTGATGTTATAAGTTATGACTGCCCTTCAACAACTACTGTATGGTCTTTAAACATGTAATAACGTTTAGTAATTGCAGTCTATCAATAATTATTTGAGATAAAACACTTTGTTTGTCCCTCACTGTTTCGTATGTCATCCACACACCCCCCTGCCTCTGTCTGTGATACAGTACATCTAAAATTTATGCCCTCCACTTTTCATAGGCTTTCAGGATTTTTACAGCCTGACCAACGGCGTATGAAAATTTATACCCACTTCAACCGGTGAAAAACCATAAAAGGAATTATACCAAAAATAGCTTTAATACATAATGGTGATGAGATGGTGTAGCTGTTGGTGTTTTTCCTCTGAGGTCTTTCTTGTTGTTGCTGTTGTTTGAATATTACTCTGATATATTGTATGGTGTAAGGGTATATATAAAGGTGTTTAGTTTTATAGAAAGTACAATAGAGTTTGAGAGATAGGGAAATACAGTACTGTAAACATGACTACAGCAGGAAAGTGAGAAGTGCCTAGAGTACTGTACCCTGTGGTTGTCATCATTAATATTACTGTACTTTATTCAGGGTAGTGTAGTTATAGAGAAGATACAGTAATTAATTCAATACAATATAAGAGCAGAGAATTATGCTGGCAAGACAGCTTAACCTATTGAGGGGCTGGGGTAAAGGTTTATCTCACCTGAATATACGTACATGTAATAGACTCGTATAGAGGTTTTTAAACGCTGGGTTTTTTAGTACTGTACAAAATTGTATTGAAGAATATTTGTTCGTTTTTTTCATTTATAAAGACTTCAAATACTAACTTTATCATCTTTAATAATTATATTGTTTGTTTTTCAGAACAATATGTGGCACACCAAATTATATTGCACCAGAAGTATTAAATAAATTGGGTCATTCCTATGATGCTGACATCTGGGCCATGGGCTGCATTATGTAAGTATCAAGTCAGTGGTACTGTGGGAGAAATAGTCCTGTGACAATATTGTATCTTTATTACATAGTGTCCTACTCCTGCTGTTTTATATACAGGTTGACAACTCTTTATCCGAAATTCCTAGAACCGAAAAGCTCTGAAAACCGAAAGTTTTTTTTTGTGGGGCAATGTTTTTTAACAGGGATTAGCCCACCCGGGCTAATCCCTGACCCACATCAGGGCCTGGGAGGCGAAAATGTAATAGTAATAATAATTATAATAATAATATTTATTCATAGTAAATAAAAATTTTAATAAAAATACACCAAAATAAAATATAACATTAATGATAATTATAATAAAATATAATAATAAAATTAATAAAAATAACAATAATACAGGAGTACTGTAATAATAAAATAATAATAATAATAATAAAGAAATACAAGAATGAAAAAAAGATCAAGTGATAAACACGACCTAGACCTATGAATTATTATTATTATTATTATTATTATTTTTATTATTATTATTATTATTATTTTTATTATTATTATTATCATTATTATTATTATTATTATTATTTTTATTATTTTTATTATTTTTATTATTATTTTTATTATTTTTATTATTATTTTTATTATTATTTTTTATTATATTTTCGCCCCTGAGGCCCTGATATGGGTCAGAGATCTATTCCCGGGTGGGCTAATACAATACAATACAAAAAAAAAAAAAAAATGGAAACCGAAAAATTCCGAAATCCGAAATGCATCTGGCCCCAAGGATTTCGGATAAGGGATTGTCAACCTGTATAATGTATCCCCTTCATTGACCAGGATCTTCAAACACTGTATACAGATTAATATATTGATAATGTATTTATGCCATTAAAATGTTTGGTGAGGTACACATAAATCAGCCACTGTCAATTTTTGGTATCACAGAAGAGAGTTAATTGATGTTGCAACTATCCGCAGGTATGCTCTCCTTGTGGGTCAGCCTCCATTTGAGACCGACACCCTGAAGGAGACTTACTCACGTATTACCTCAAACAAGTACGTGATCCCACCACTCATCAGTGAACCGGCCAGGCATCTCATTCGTCGCTTCCTCCACCCAGACCCAAATGCCCGACCACGGCTCGACCAGGTCCTTAACCATGAATTCTTCACCACAGGTACGGGGGAGACATAATAGAAACAACATTTAATATTTTCACTTATGTTAAATCAGGAGAACTAAAGACAATCTAGTAGATGCTTAAAAATGAATACAGTAAATATTTTCTCATTGACAGAGAAGGAAATGCTTAATTATATCATTTACTTTGAGAGCTTCATATACTGTACTAATAAAGTTTCATTTGTTTTAGGAACTTTAATAAGATATTCATCCGTTTAAAACCATGGTGCACATTTCTGAGCTTTTTATTATAATTTTCAGGTGTGGTCCCACGTTCCCTGCCTGCCTCAGCATGTACCCAGGTGCCAAAGTTTGGACTGGAGGTTATTGGGAAGTCTGTGTCTATGCCAGAACAACAATTACAGCACCAGGCTCCTCCTCTCCCCCAGTCACAGTCACAACACCCTCTTACCCAAGAAATTAAGAAAATTACCACTTCGGTTTCAACACTCCGCATCCCCAACCAAAAACCCCAACCAGAAAAAGTAGGTATTTGATGAACATAGTGGATGAAAGAATGTGAAATAATGTAATCCAAATTTACAATAATAGCCAGTTGGTTTTTGTATTGCCCCGACAAAAGCCACCATACCTCAAAAGGAGACATTTATTATGACTTGCCCATTCATGTGTCCTGATTATAATTATCTTCCCTCTGCTCCTTCTGGCCATTCATCCCACACACCGTAGATAAAACATAGATGGTTTTACTGTTGTATAAGCTGCTGGTGGGTAACAGTGGTAAATATTTGGGTCATTTTATGATTCTAACTCTAATTTAGAATAATGTTATATTTAATGCTCTGATAAAATCATTAATACGTATTCTGAAGTATTATACTGTACAGTACTGTGTTCATACTGATTTTGTCATAAAACTCAAATTTTTTGTTGTAAAATTGTAATAGGTACACTGGACCTTCGTTAATTTTACAAAGGGGGGGGGGGCCTCTGAGTCACTCGGATTACCGAACAATCCGAATTAACCGCGTTCCGAATAATTTGACATTATTTGACAATTTCTAATTTTATGAGTTCAATTATTCGTTTCATTTCTGTTCAGTTTGTTAAGATTGTTACTCATTATTCCAACCAACAAACATACCGGTACTCAGTTACCATGTCTCGACTACCACAAAATATTCTACAGTGTTTGGAATTACTCTGCAAGGAAATATGTTTTTTTTAATTATATTTTTTCATTGTTTACCGTATTACTCACCAACTATGGGCTTCCTAGGTGATGTTTTGATGTTTTTGTATAATTCTGGAAGTTCTTAATGGTTAAACCCCTTAAAATCCAACTCCGAGAAAACTGTATTGTACAGGTATATATTCCGACGAAATGCTCTTGAAAACCATTGGGCTTACAATTTTGGTCGTATCAGCCCATAATTGGATTTTATTAAAAATCTCAGTGTAGGTCCTCCTGAGCATGCTGATTCTGAATCTATGGTTCACAATTCGATTGTTGGGTAATTATTAGTCCTAATGATGCTAAATATGCCAACTATGAGCCAAGATGCGATTTTGGTGATTTTGTGTTCTTGTGAAAGTACAGTACAGTACTTGCTGACTGGGTTTCCTAGGTGATTGGTTAGTGTTTTCGTGTTCTAGACATATTAATTAGTTAATCCCATTAAATTTCAAGTCTGAGAGAAAAGTCATAATTGGGTATCAAGCCCAGAACTGCAATCTCTGGGATTTTGTTCAAAACCTCGGTACGGTGTAGGTACTCCTGAGCATGCTGATTCCGAATCTATAATCGACACTTCGATTGCGGGATAATCAGTGGTTTTAACTATGCTTGGAAGAGTTTAATGACATATTTCTCAGTGGTAATTACTGTACTCATTGATTATGGGTTTCTGAGGTGTTTGGTTGGTATTTTTGTATTCTTCTGGATGTGCTTAAATTACACAAACAGTAATACTAAAGTAAATAACACGGTAATAATTAAATGTAACACTGTACATTGCGTGGCGAGTTAATATGTAGGTGATATTCCGAAAGTGTAATAGTCCACTGGTAAATAAAGCAAAACCCCGCATTAGAGATATAAAAGATGATATTTTTGAGCTGGAGTACTAGGACCCTCTTCAGCCAACTAACAGATGAAAGCAAGGGAGAAATTTACTTCCATTGGTGTACAGATGTGATTGATTGTAATTACTGTATTGTACTCTATACTGTTTTGTAATAAGTAAAGATCTATTATACCATTTATTTACAGTATAAACATAAAGGGACTTATTGTATATTCAAGTAATATGTATTTTTTTTTATTTAGGAGAATTTTATTTTCTCGTATATCTTAATCGAATGTTTATTTTTTCTGTTATCTTATTATCATTCCACCACTCGGCACAGGACATGAATTTGAATTACAGTATATAAAAACATTCCAACACTGTGCGTATAAGTTCTCTTCCTGGAGTACCTCGAAAAATGTTTAAAAAATAGTTACATCATAATAAAAGCTCGCAAACTGACTAGTACATGTCCATTTTTTTCAGTATTGTTTGTGTGGGCATTTTAATCGAGTGGGAAGGAGGGGAGGGGGGGGATTTAAATGAGTATTATCTTGTTTCTCTAACCAACAGTTCCTGCTACTTGGAAAATGGTTTTTATCATCTACAGTATCAAGGTTCTTGGGTATTGAATGTAGTATGTGTCGGTCAAAAAAAAAATGGTTTACGGAATGAATTTGAAGGCATAATGAATAATTATTTATATTAGCAACCTTTGAGAATGTATTATGATTTTCAGATCTCAATTTTGGACGGCGGTCTTGGCAGTCCCCCAAACAGCCGACCAACTACTGGTAACTCCAAGGAAGAGAATAGGAAGAAAGACTCTGGGGGGACTTTGTCTTCATGTCTACGCCAGAAATTGTCTTCAGTCATTTGTACAACAGACAATAAGGCTTCTACTGGTAACTTGGTGGGGAAGAAGAGAGATATTACCTCTGGCACTCTTTATAACCTCTTGGCTGCCTGTCTTGATAATATGCCAGATGGTGAGTTTCTCATTAAATAAATTTATTTATGCTTACACTCGCCAACACATGCAAATTATTATATACAGTATGCCCTCCTCCTGCGCGTATTCCTACAAAACGAATTCACTTGTACATGCAAAAATAAATGTGACTAATGTATTTCCCGAACACAGAAAATTCAAATTTACTCGGTTCTTTAACACATTAATGTAACATGGCTCCTCTTCACATCCACCCGTGCTGTCTCCCTCAGCTGTAGTCTCATGTAAGCTGTAGTCGGGCGAAGAGCTGTGCTATCCACGTTGATATACTTTCTGCTCTTTTTACTATTTTGGGGGAAAGAAACCCTGAAACAATATGGTTTCAGGGTTTGTACATTATCTCCAGGTGATGGAGGAGTAAAGAAAAGCCATAAAATGTTGTTATTAGAAGATAAAATTTAAATTTTGGGTAAGTTACAAAGTGGCCTGGGTGGAGGAGTGGAATAATCATTATGATACTCTAATGTGGCTTAGAAATAAAGAAAATATAATATAAAACTATAAAATAAGACAAATGAAGAGCATCAATGTGTACTGTATATGTGGGAAGTGAATGTGTTGAGGCAGTGTGTTATGGCTCTATGTAACTGAACTGCCTCTCGCTGAAACGTCACCGCATACACACGTCTGGGAGTCATCTGATGAGAATTTATGTAATGGCACTCCGTAATTCTTGTTAATCTCTTTAAATATTAAGTTCCTCGCACGCAGATTCCCCTAACATGCTGTTTTCAAGGAAGCTAACCCCCACGTTGGAGGAGGGCTTATTGTATAGCCACGGGGTGTTAGAGAAGTCCCTGTGCACCTATAATAATGAAAAAATTGTTATTTTCCATTTTTTTACATACTACAGTAAATATTGAAAATGGTCATAGTAAATGTTGGAGGTAGATACTATTCCTAATATTTACTTTAAGTCAAACAAGTTACATAGTACTATAACAATGTAGGTGTACACAGGCACTTTTATAACACCGTGTATAAAGATACATTTCAATATATTTGGCTTTACCAGTGACAGTTTTCACAAAGTGTCTAGAGATAAACCTCTATATCCCAGATGATATCACAGGATATTAATTTTCTGGGTCGTCTGTCCGTCCATCAAACATACTAAAGACAACAAAAAATATATGAACACTAAAGGTCTCACACACAAACACAAAGTTACACACACACACACACACACTGACTTTGCACACCACCTCACCAAGGTTACAGTCATGAAGTGTGTGGCACATTAATGCTCCTCTGGCCACCACCTGTTGAGGCTACAGAGGTCGGGTAATTAATAAGGATAAGGTGGATACAAGGAAATGTACTGTGTTTTACATTTACTTGTGGGTGATGGCCTTACTAATATTCTCATGACAGTAGTTTAGGTATAATAAGAAATAATTAAATACTTTTGATATCCTTGTGTTGTATTTATTTATTTGTATTTGACATTGTGTTTGACTATAAATTAAATAAATAAAGTATGATAGACAGTTCTGTTTCTGGCACTAAAATGAGTATTTTTTCTACATAATCAAGAGACTCGAGAATTCCATTTTCTGAAAAATTCTTTTGAAATTCATTTCAGATATGAGCAGTAATCCCTCAGTCCAAAGCCACACTCCTCTCTTTATATCAAAATGGATTGATTACTCTAACAAATACGGTTTTGGATATCAGCTTTCGGACAACTGTGTTGGAGTTTTCTTCAATGATCTGACAAGGATAAGCATCAGTTCAGATAAGAAGTAAGACCTTTAATAATTTTTTCTAAAATTAATCATAAGAATGTAAACAAAATAATTTTCCTTCATATTTCATGTGAACCACAATACTGCTCCTTCATTTTTTATGTCTTCTTTAATGTGTTTTTTCCATTTCAGTCGAGTTGAGTTTACAGACTCCTCTGGTAGACTGGCTGTGCATCAGGCAGGTGCTCTGCCTGCGTGGCTACAGGAACGTTACCAACTCTTACGTTATTTTGCTACGTACATGGAGGAAAATCTGACAGAGGCTGGTGATTCTCGAACAGCACGACCTGCAGCAGCAAGAATGTCCGTCATCCCTCACGTGCGTCGGTGGGATCGTACGCCCAAGTCAATTATCATGCAGCTCAGTAATGGAACCTTCCAGGTATGTATGGAAAAATGCATGTGGTTGTCCATGTTTCACTGAAAATACCAAAAGCATCGATCATTGTCTCATAACTATGTTAAAACACTTCACTACTGGGTAAATTGAAAACCATTAAGTACATTTTGAATTTATATTCTCTGTTTTTTTATTACTCATGCCAATTATTTTGTCATGTAGAATGTAGTCATTATAAATTTTATTTTTCACTTCAGATTAACTTTTTCAAAGACCATACCAAGATTGTGATTGCTGGTGATCGTACCGACGTCAGCATTATGTTCATCAGCAGCGACAGGCAGTCCTTTACTTATCGTCTGTCTCAGCTTGCCGAGCTTGGCTGTGATGCAATGGTGCGCGAGCGTTTAGTTTATGCATTGTCCTGTCTTCGACAGTATGCGGAATTAGACGGAGAGGAAGTTTGAAAAAGAGAAATGACTAGTTCCAGAGCTATTTTTGGATATTTGGTGGAAACTAGAATGGATTAGCATCCTGCAGGACCAAGTGAAATGAACATTGTCAGGTTCCAAGACTTCAGTGTCTTGGATTGTTTGAAGTCATGTGAAGATTATATATAGTGGTGATGGTTCAGAAAAAAAATTCAAAAAATCATTTAATTGTTGAATTGTAAGACAATTCCTTCGGGTTCATAGAAAAAGAACTGTCGGCCATAAGTGTGGCATTACTAGGAGTATTTGTTGTTGGTGGTGTGTATTAGTGATTGGTTACTCCAGCGTAAAGTAACGGAAATTGGACAGATGAGCAAGTATGAGCCTCAATGAACCTCAACTTGGGTTCTTAACAGGCTTATTTTCATATTTTTGAGAGAGGAGAGTGAACTGTTAAGACGTCTTAAGACTCATAGTTGCTGATCCTAAGACTCATAGTTGCTGATCATTCTTTATGTGCAGGATCCCTGAACTATGCAATAATTGTGTACACTGTACATGTTTGGTACACTGCACATAACAGTTCTGTTACCAGGTGACCATAATGTCTGTGTTACTGTTACACACCAATTGACTAAGACTTGGGAGCATGTAAGCTCTACCTCACAGTTTAATTAGTTATGTGTCTGATCACTGCCCATGTTGATAGTCAAGGGCACAGAAAAGCCTGCAACCCACATTCACAGTGTTTTGATGATTTATCAAGCTAACTTTAAAGCTTAATTTAAACTAAGTACTACTGTCAGAAGACTGTGAATGTGGAAGTCTTGTTACAGTGACCCTTCTCTGTATGTTGCCCCTGATATTTACCAAAGAGTTTAAAAGGGGTAAATGTAATAATAAAAGCTAGTGTAATTCAACACCTTATTGTATTAGAGTGAAGGGGATCCCCCGAGGAAGCTGGGAGAAGTTGCTCCTACACTTGAGTAAAAGCTATTAGTAGTGTGGTGGTTGTGCTGAGGATATTGTCAAATACCTCTTCTGTGCATTATGAACATTCTCCATCAAGTTAGGAGAATTAGATACAAAGATTAATCAAATTGACAGTGATCTCTTAAGCTAACACTGCTCAAAGACTAAAATAGAATGTGCATTCATGACGTGATTTTACAATTGAAAAAGTTTTGTGTAATCCTAAGTGAATGCTTTCACTAGCGGGCATCAAGGAACCACGTCTTGCTCAGAACGTGGACTAAGTGATACATTCACATTATGTGTTTGGTTATCAGTTTAAAATTCTGAAAGCAATGAAGCTGAATCTTTTTTTTTTGTCAGCCCTGAAGCAAGTCCGTCCTTGTATGCTCTGCTTCAGTCATGTATGAATGTGTGGTAGAAGAACAGTCTGATGTATAACTGCTGGAATTGGTGTGTCCATAGAGCTTAAATTACAGCTCAAGAGTTAACCATAATGAATCCTAAATCCTTAACGTTTAGAACTTCTCCCAAACATAATTAGTTTGGCCTCTATTGGTCAGTGAACGGTTACCATTAATGAAATTATCGGAGAAAATGAATGTTATCGACAGCTTTCTTTTTGCTTTTTTTCTTCAGCCGATTCAAGATATATATATACTTCTGTCATACACAGGATGAGGCCTTTTCACAACCAAAGAGTGAATGGTTTATGCCAATGTTCCCTTTTTGGCTCAGGTTAACTATAATGTACCAAATATAATTTTTGATAATGAAAGTCAACTTCTCGTACATTTTTGCAGTTGTGGCTTGGCAAGTGATATTGGTGATAACCTACACAAATTTGTTAAGATTAAAAAGTCTTGACTCTTGAGTGTTGTTGCTGGGAAGAAGAGAAGCATTGTTGCCAGTCACTTGAGTTTATGGCTCGTGTCAGTGAGTTTATGGCTCGTGTCAATGAGTTTATGGCTCATGTCGGTGAGTTTATGGCTCGTGTCAGTGAGTTTATGGCTCGCGTCCATGAGTTTACAGCTCATGTTAATGATAAATCAAAGCTATCTTCCTGTCAACCAAGCAAAATATTTAGTACAAACCAAAAACCTTGGAATAAAATTCTCTTAAGGACTTCAAAAGAAAAATTGTGTGTATGATGCAGATAGCCTCTATAATGATCTCATATTTTTTAATTAATCCATCTTTATCAGTATATTTCCTCTTGATGTTGGTGGTAAGGCTGTAAAGACAAGGGTACGAATTCTTAGTCATTTATTTAGCTGCGTGTAAATATTGTTCACAGATATGCAAGAAATGTTTAGCCGCTGTCTTGTAAAGTAGATTGGTTATTAGGTTGTTTATGCTACAGAACTTGACCTAAGAATTCGTTTTAAGGAACAGGAACACTCCTTAAGTGCCCCCCTTCTCTTATGCAGCTTCTATCATACCAGTATATTGTATTTATAGGTATTTTTTTCATTTACATTGGGGTTTACATCCTCCACTATCTGTCTTACCAAAGATGACAGGATTTTTGTATCTGCTTTTCACATGAACACTGAGAAGGTAGACAGGCTTTTGTTTTGGAATCTGAATAAGATGTAGGTTGGATGGGCTCGATAAAGTCTAGGCATTGTTGAAATTTCTTTGACTGACTCGTCAAAAGAAATGATGGCTCTTAAGGGGACACCGTAGCATATAGCCAGTGGACTGATGCCTGGCTCATCAGCTTGAGGAGGTATATTCAGTCTTGAAGCCAGACTGAGTAGATTAGGGTATTACTTGTTGTAGTAACCTCAGGCTGGGACACTAAAGATATTATATGCTTTGGGAACCATTAGCCTAGGACTCTTTGAGGTCTCTGTTTGCTGTGGTAACTTAAGGCCCTGTCACTGAGGGTATTATTTGTAGTAGTAACCAGAGGCAGGGACACTGAGCGCATTATTACTGTGGTATCCTCAGGCTTGGTCATTGAGGATGTTACTTGCTGTGATATCCTTGAGTTTAATCACTAAAGGTATTAATTGCTGTGGAATACTCAAGCTTGGTCATAGAAGACTCATTTGCTGTGGTAGTCTCAAGTTGGGCCACAGAGGACATTTATTCAAGTGGTATCCTCAGGGGGTCAGGGGGATAGGTGCAACCCTGGTGTAGTTAATATCTCTCATACACAATGTTGGGAAATTGCCCAACACGTGAGACTCCCAACACCTCTCAACATGTATGGTATTTGAATCGAGCTTTAACAACCCTCAACTAGGACATCCATAGTATACGTGACAGAAGATGGGTTTATTTAGTCCTTGTGAAGAAAGAGTTTCAACTGTGGCTAGTCTTTAGAGAAAATTTTGATGGGAAGTCATAGTACTGGTGACGAAGAGTACGGCTTAAGGGCTTTAAGTAAACAAAGCACCAGAGGCTGAAGGGTATTACTGATGGTGATGAAGTTATGTTTGACTGTAAAAGTTGGCAGAGGAGTTGTGTGCCAAGAATCCCTTTCATTACCACCCCATGGTCAGTTCGGGCTGAGGGGTATTGTTTAGAATAATATGATTTGTGTCTGTGATTCTCTGTGTTAATTTTGTATGTTTTGTTTTTGTGATAACTTTGTGATTTTCCTGTTTTTTGTATGTATGCAAGTATGTATATATAGTACATCATTAATTTAATAAACGTGTGTTTTTGTTTGTTTTCTGTGTTAAGTGTGTAGCGCTCAGGTCTTTCACAAGCTGATAGTAGCAAAGTGGTCTTCCTTAAATTATTTGTTCTCGATCTTTTCCATTGGTTTTAACTACCAAATCCTCCAAATTGGTGCCTTTATGTAATAACTGCAGTGAGGAGCAGTTGATGCCTTCACTGCATCAAGTCAAGTTTGTTTATAGTGCTCAAGCATATGTGGCACCTAGCAAGTGTTTATCAGTAAAAAGAAATTTGCATTGTAAGTAAAAAAATCTTTGCATTGTAAAAGAAGGAATTCATTATTCTTACTTCTTAAATCTTGTATTAATCCACTGCAGAAGAACAGATTAACAAATTGTCGCAGTTACTGTTCAACTTTTTTATTAATGCAGTATTTAGCTCTCTTGACAAAAAAAAAGTGCTCAGATTAATGTGGCCAATAAAGTAGTGGCCATGGTTTACTATCACCTGGCAGACTACCGAGTTTTCAGACGCTCTAGCTAGTGCGGATTCTCATACTTGTTACACATGCAGTTTGGGCCGTATGATGCGAGATGTCTTCCACGCAACAGGACAATAACTTGGTTCACTTCCTATGGTCGCAGTAAGGCTCACCCGGTCAGTAGTGTAAGCCTCTCTGCCATAATGTATGGATTGTTAGTTCCAAGTAATTGTTTGGAGAGAGTTGTTAACCCTCAGGTATGATTGTTGTCTAAAAGAGGACTTGTAGTAAAGTTTGGACCAATGTTACTTGACCTTTAACCTGAGAGAACAACTCCATATGTGTCCAGCGTAGTAAAGATTCCTTCCAGTATAGTACACGGAGTAATAGGCATTTACTCTTGAAGTTTAGATCATCAAATAATACTATCATCATACCTCTTCATTATTATATTTCATGGTCCCATACGTCACTATTGTGTAAGACGGCCAACCAGCGCATGTAACATAGAGAGACCAAACAAGGTGAATGACTGCTACTTGCCTTGGTCTAAAATGTCCTATTCATTATTGCATTATTACCCTAAGTGGCCCACTCAAGACATGTAAATAAATTATGTTAAGATATTAGGATTACAGAGGTAGTCATCTTCAATCTGTGCAGTACTATGGTGTATATTAGGCATCATCGACTCTCATGGTCTTTCATTTTTTGCAATTCTTGTTGTAAATTTACTTGCTTTTGTTTGTAATAAAGAATCAGTAATGCCGTGTTTCTCTTCCTTAGACCAATTGTATTCTATGTGACGGAATAAATGAGGATACGTGCCAAGAGGAGGTGAGAGTGATTTAGAAGCAGATGAGGTAAAGTACAGTAAAACCTCAATTAACCAACCCTCGGTTAACCGACTTTTGATTATCTGTCAATCTCAAACCCCTTATATATATATATATATATATATATATATATATATATATATATATATATATATATATATATATATATATATATATATATATATATATATATATATATATATATATATATATATATATATATATATATATATATATATATATATATATATATATATATATATATATATATATATATATATATATATATATATATATATATATATATATATATATATATATATATATATATATATATATATATATATATATATATATATATATATATATATATATATATATATATATATATATATATATATATATATATATATATATATATATATATATATATATATATATATATATATATATGTAACCGGTCGGAATTTACTGGACTTTATTTTCTCACTTGACTTGGGGTTTATTAAAGATTATAAGATGGTAATGGCAGTGGAAGCGCCCCTTTGAGAAAAATCCCGAACCAGCACAAGAACACTTAAATCTACTAAACAAAATGAATTGTCCGTGACCCGTGGAAGGATAGCGTCTGTGACTGGGATGAATGAGACACACTGTAAAATTTAGACACTTATATTCCCTCCAACACTACAAACACAATCAAATAATGGTACACCAATGTGCGCACCTCTTAACTTGAACTTAAAACACTACTCTGGGAAATAAAAGTTATACATGATATAGAAATTATTAGAAACTCAGGCAACAATAAATTTGAAGTATTAAGAAATGTTGCTTGCACACATGAAACAGGCCTTAAGGGCTTTCACAAAATAATATCAGTCACTTAGGAAATGCTTCCAACAAAATAATATCAGTCACTGAGGAAATGGTAATAAAAAATAAGAAATTAAATACTCTACAATGAATAGGCCTTAAGGGCACTCAACAAAATTATATCACCCCAACAGATGCACACTTCCTAACCTAACTTAACCACTACTCTGGTGAACAAGGTTATACCTGAGATCAGAATTATGAAGAAAAATTAGATGCACTTAATGACACAAACATTCAAAAACAATACTATCAAAATTATTTAGGAACTATTAAACTACACACGTCAAGATAATATCAGTCTGAGAAATGGTATTAACTACACCCGTAATAAGGGAGGGAAAATGTTCCTCTAGGTATCTCCTAGAGACCTAGACTCACGGTCTCAGTGTGTGACCATTAATTTACTCAGATAGCCTCGGTGTACTCCCGGTGCGTCCATAAAGCGGAAGGGAGTGAGCCAATCAGACCTTGTACAGTTGAGAGAAGCTTTAGCTTCCCGTTAGCAAGAGGGTTTCACTAAGCTGCTCGGGACATGTGGTGGTGTGGGCCGAGGGAGAGGAGAGCTGCTGACCCACGATCGTCCCGACGTCAGCTGAGCACCCAGACGGCTAGATTCCCTCAAGAGATCCTTTGGTACCCCGCTAAACAGTGACAGGCCTACTCTGATCGGTCCAATGGCGACAATCGCCACCCTCAATCATCAACGGCAGTCTCAAACGGCAGTCAATCTCTCGCAGTCAACTTCGGTCAACTCCGGTCAAGTGGGTTTTGACGGAAACCCTGAAATGAACTCGCGGTTAGCTCTAGTTAACTTTACCACTGCCCTATCTAAACCCTGTCTGAGATTGAATGAGACTTACTTGTTATACTGCAATAGCGCAGCACAGGTGAGTAGGCCACGTGACTATTTCTATGACGGACGCGCAGGGATGTCTTTTTTATTTTTATTTTTTTTTTTATAATTACTCGCCACTTACAATTTTCGTCATTTCGGCCAAAATGGATTTGTTCAAAATTTCAGTATAGGTACTCCTGAATGTGCTGCTTAAGGATCTATTACCCAAAATTTGATATCTTGATTATAACTTGTTCAAATGGCTTTTTGAAAATGTTCAAATGATTTTTAGAATATTTTAATTACTTTTGCAATGCTAATTACTCGCCACTTATGGGTTTTCGAGGTCATTTCTTGGTGCTTATGTATTATTCTGGATGTACTTAAATAGTTAGGCACATTAAATTTTAGTTCAGAGAGAAAAAGTATTTTTGGCCAAAAATTCTTTAAGGCATAAGACTTACAATTTTCGTCGACTTCGGCCAAAAAATGGATTTTTTGTTCAAAATTTCAGTATAAATTACTCCTGAATGTGCTGCTTAGGATCTATTAACCAAAATTTGATATCTTGATTATAACTTGTTCAAATGGCTTTTAGAAAATGTTCAAATGATTTTTAGAATATTTTAATTACTTTTGCAATGCTAATTACTCGCCACTTATGGGTTTTCGAGGTCATTTCTTGGTGCTTGTGTATTATTCTGGATGTACTTAAATAGTTAGGCACATTAAATTTTAGTTCAGAGAGAAAACGTATTTTTGGCCAAAAATCCTTTAAGGCTATAGACTTACAATTTTCGTCATTTCGGCCAAAAAATGGATTTTGTTCAAAATTTCAGTATAGGTACTCCTGAATGTGCTGCTTAAGGATCTGTTAACCAAAATTTGATATCTTGATTATAACTTGTTCAAATGGCTTTTAGAAAATGTTCAAATGATTTTTAGAATATTTTAATTACTTTTGCAATGCTAATTACTCGCCACTTATGGGTTTTTGAGGTCATTTCTTGGTGCTTGTGTATTATTCTGGATGTACATAAATAGTTAGGCACATTAAATTTTAGTTCAGAGAGAAAACGTATTTTTGGCCAAAAATCCTTTAAGGCTATAGACTTACAATTTTCTTCATTTCGGCCAAAAAATGAATTTTGTTCAAAATTTCAGTATAGGTACTCCTGAATGTGCTGCTTAAGGATCTGTTAACCAAAATTTGATATCTTGATTATAACTTGTTCAAATGGCTTTTAGAAAATGTTCAAATGATTTTTAGAATATTTTAATTACTTTTGCAATGCTAATTACTCGCCACTTATGGGTTTTCGAGGTCATTTCTTGGTGCTTGTGTATTATTCTGGATGTACTTAAATAGTTAGGCACATTAAATTTTAGTTCAGAGAGAAAACGTATTTTTGGCCAAAAATCCTTTAAGGCTTTAGACTTACAATTTTCGTCATTTCGGCCAAAAAATGGATTTTGTTCAAAATTTCAGTATAGGTACTCCTGAATGTGCTGCTTAAGGATCTGTTAACCAAAATTTGATATCTTGATTATAACTTGTTCAAATGGCTTTTAGAAAATGTTCAAATGATTTTAGAATATTTTAATTACTTTTGCAATGCTAATTACTCGCCACTTATGGGTTTTCGAGGTCATTTCTTGGTGCTTGTGTATTATTCTGGATGTACTTAAATAGTTAGGCACATTAAATTTTAGTTCAGAGAGAAAACGTATTTTTGGCCAAAAATCCTTTA